TCAGACATTTTATTATTACTATAAAATGTCAAACCACTGCAGGCTCCCTGCACTGTCTGTAGCTAGAGGCACTCTAAGAGAACAAAGTTACCATGACCTTAAAAGAACCACAGAGACATTAGGACCCAACCAGAGCCCTCCTCATTGATTCTCAGCTCATCCTTGGCAGAGCCAAAGGCTCAGTTCCTCAACATCAACTGCATAGTAAACTGTCATTTCTAGAGTGTTTAAGTTAGACTCAAGAAGAACTGCCTGCAGCAAATAGTTCTAACGCTTGAAATAAACAGATGAGAGAGGCTGTGAAATAATTTTCCTCCTAGGTCTTTTAAAGGCTATATAGTTAAAAAATGTGTGTGTGTGTGTGTATTTTTAAATTTTTTTTCATTCTAGAGGCAGGGGGATAAAACTGGTGGTTGCTCTCCTCCAATCCTGGGGTTCCAGGGAAGGTAGAGGAGGTTTTTTTTTTTTTTTTCCTTTTAAGGGGTTTCCTCTTTCATGAGAAGATGATTGGTGATAGGTGTTACCAGGCCACTGCAGTGGGTGGGTGAGGCTGCTCCACCTGCTGAATCAAGGGAGGCTGCCAGGAGGGGAGGAGAATGGCTGTAAGATGTCTAATGAAGGAAGCTTGGGAGGAAGCCTGGGGCTGGCTAGGGGAGGGCGTGGGAGAGGACTCCGTGGGGGCTGGCTGGCAGGCCACACCTGATCTGAGAGAGCCCAAGAGAACAGGTAGAAGTCACCTCTGCTTCATAAGGATTTTTCTCTGGAAGCCACACCTGCCAGCTCCTCCTTCCTCCTGGTCCTTTAGGGATGAGGTCAGGGCCAGCAGCTAGAGTCCCTCCAGGCACAGAGGGAGAACAGAATAGGGTGGGAGATGATCGCCTGAGGACGGTCACCGAATCCCTTTCTTTCTTTCAAGGCTTTTTAAAATGAAAAGTTCCCTCTGCTTCGAGGTCCTCTGTCAGTCACAGTGGTAGATCTGACAGCCTGTGGAGATTTTTTTGCCAGTTGGCATGTGACAAATAAGATCTGGGGGCCACCAAGAAACATCCTTTCAGGGAAGCGGTGCAGTGGAGTTGAGCTGGTGAAGGGCAGGAGCCTCGCAGGGGACTTTGTGCATAGTCAGGTTCTTCAGTGGGCAAAGCCAGAGAGAGGGACCTGGGGGAGCTTGGGGAACCATCACCGTCCCTGGGGGGTCCTTGATGTCCACCTCAGACCTCGGTACTGGAGTGTGGAAGCCCTTGCCTCTTTGGGGAGCTGGTGGGAAAGGAGATGGTGGTCTTGGACTGGAACTGGAAGGACAAGGTTTCTTTGATTTCTTTCTCTAGGAAGTTCTTTTTGGCATTGGAATTTTGGGGGTTCACAAGAGAATCTATTTTTCACCAGGTATTTGAGGTGAACAGCCCCACACAGGAGGGGAAGCCTGCCTTCTGGCACATGAAAACCAAAAGACCAGTCAGTCTACACCGGCTGAGAGTTCAACTGAATAAACATCTGCTGAGTCAAAGCAAAGGCCGCCCACCTCTGTCTGGCGGAGAGGACACTTCTGAGCATGGACATCCAGCCCTGCCCAGCCTGGTTGGAGAGACAGGCCTCTCTCAGGTTGTCCTGGGCTGTCACTCCTCTGGGCAGCTCAAGCCCTGGCACATATTTCTCTTATTCATTGTTAACTCCAAATTCAAGCTATTTGCTTACTGATCTCTTTTCACACTGGACTGTCAACCCCAGTGGCAAGATGGGCGACTCATTTCTGGCTGTCTAAGCAGTCCTTGCTTACCACCTGGTCATGGTAGACTGTGCAGTAAAGATGTGAATGAATGAATAGTGAACGGTACTGGTGGTCTGAGCTAAATGCTTTCTGAGTAGGACAGACAGGGAGGTTGCAGCGATAAAGGTTGTGGGCTCCGTGGGGCAGCCTCCTAGAAGACAGAGCCATACCTCTTCCCATCTGCCTTGAAGCACTGGAACCTGCTTCCTTCCCTTAGGACAACTGAAATGGGCACTCTCCAGCATCCTTCTATCCTCCTCCTGTGGTCCATTCACCTGCCTCAATCATCATCTGCTGGTTCTCCCAGGTTGCGTTGGAATGGGCTCACACTGACTTAGGATGGTGGCTGTGCTTCTTTTCCCAGCATGCCTCTCAGTGGTACCTTGAGATTGGCCAGGGTGCAGAAATTCAAAAACACTAGAAACCAGTGTTTTTTTTTTTTTTTTTCATCCTGGAAGAGCCAGTTGCTAAGCTTCTACCAGCACACACCTGCAATCCACTCCATTACCTACTGTGTATACACCTTTCTCTTGTCTCTCTCCTTCCTACTTATATCCCTTCCTCTCCCTTTCCCTCCATCTTTCCTTTCCTCTCTTCTTTTTGTTCTATTATTTTATCCAGTTCTCCCTCTGTTTGTTTTTTTCCTTCCTTCCATCCATTTTCTCTCCACCCACTCATCCATTACTACCCAACTCCTATCCATCATTCATCCGTTTCCATTCGTATCCATCTAATTTTTATTTCTTCCTTCTGTCCATCTGTCCATCTATACACAATTGTTTTGTGGGCATCTTCTCTCTGTTAACTTATTCCTAAGGTTCAGAATATTCACGGAGATTGCTGCATGGCAGGTGCATGAACTCTAAGGTCTAGCAGAGGCCTGCCGGGCTCAGCCAGCATTAATATTGAATCTTTACCTGGACTCCTCTGGCCTTCTATGTCTTCTTGTCCTCTCTTTTATTTTTATAGTCTATTCTCCCAGGGTAAAGGACCTTCTCAGGGGAAGAGGGAGGTGCATGTCCTAACCCCAGACCAGAAGAATGTTTTGCACTTTCCCTCCGGCCTCCAGCTTCAGGCAAAAGCCCCAATTTTTTTCCCCTTTTGGGGAAAAAAACCCAGGGGTGTGTAACCACTGAGCCACATTCCCAGCCCTCTTTACGCTTTATTTTGGGGCAGAGTCTTGCTAAGTTTCTTAGGGCCTTGCTAAGTTGCTGAAGCTGGCCTTGAACTTGTGATCCTCCTGCCTCAACTTCCCAAGCTGCTGAAATTATCGGCATGCACCACCAAGTCTGGCTAAGAGCTCAAGCTTTTTGAGAAAGGGATTCCTCATCCTAAAAGTTCCCATGAGATCTTACAGTTAATGAACAAGAGGGGGCTCCTGTGGAATCTGAGGACAGGAGCCTCAGGTAAAGGGGAATCCYTATCATGAAGTCAGCACTACCCACCCCTACACATACCTCCTCTTAAAACTTGGCTGCTTTGTGAGCTAACCTTGTCTCTGCCCTTGTTCCCAGGGCTGTTATTGCAAAGGATTAGCTGTCAAAGCCTGGTGAGCCAAGGGGCGGGGGCTTCTGGAGCCTGACCTAGATTCGAGAGGAAAGATGGGAAACCCACTCCCCTCTGCACAGCCCTGAACCTGCCACTCCAGCCACACCCACTGTCTGCTCCACCCTGACCAGCGCAGCCCAGAGAGGCATAGCCTTGTATTGGGTGTATGTCGTGGGGTGGGGGGTGAGTGGGTGGGTGGATGGGGTGGGTGCTGGCTTCCCTCAAAGTGACCAGGAGAGATGAGGGTCCCCGGATTTTTGTAGGGTTCAGGGAGAGGAAGAAGTGGAATAGCTCTCACTTTACTTCTGGAGAGTCCAGAATTATCTGAATCCCACACTGCACTGACCTCATTTTGTAGGATATTATCTGTGGCTTGCCTGGGGAAGGTGGGAAGATTTTTCTGAGTCACACAACAAACTTACTGTGGAGAAAGGTGAGACTCAAGTGTTTTAGCCCCAAGGACCAAGCCACCTGGCTTGTGTTGCCTGTATTCCCTCCATTACTGTGTCTACTGTGTCTCTGGCCTTTTGATGCAAGCAAGTTCTGACATGCTCTGGTGAAATTCTCAAGTTCCATATGTATCTTGTTAGGGCCACCGGCATAAGAAAGACTTCAGAAACGATCTTGTGGAGAGATATTTAGGTGGCTTCATGGCACCCAGGCTGAAGAAGGGGCTTGAGAACCATAAAGGTCTTTGGTTCAATCCCAGCTCTGCCACTTGACTGACATCAATAAGTTGGCTTAGCTTCATTTTTCTCAACTACTCAAAAGGCGTGATGGAGCTGGGTAYGGTGACACATGTCTGTATTCCCAGTGCTGTAATTTCAGCAACTTGGGTGGCTGAGAAAGGAGGATCACAAGTTGGAGGCTAGTCTTAGCAATTTAGCAAGGCCCTAAACAACTTAGCAAGACCCTGTCTCAAAATGAAAAATAAAAAGGGCTGGGAATCTTGCCCAGTGATTAATGCTCTTAAGTTTAATCCCTGGTACCAAAAAAAAAAAAAAAAGGCATAGATTGAAGTGAAGCTTAAATAAATTCACATGTAAAGGACCTAGGACAGTGCCTGGAAGTTGATAATAACAGGTGGCCACATCACTCCAAATCCTAAAATCCAAATCAAATTGAAGCCATATCTCCCCAGAGGGTGAGAAGCATCTCCACTCTCCCCAGGTGGAGTCTGTTTCCTATGAAATCCAGCTTCGCAAATTACAAGGCTATTTGGCTTGTGTGACCCAATTAACAGCTCTCTGTCCTGTGGTCCTCTTGCAGACACCTCGGCTTCTGCCCCAGGGGCCACTGGGCTCAGAAAATCCTGTCCACCTGAGGATAGAGGCTCCGGGCTTCCCTGATGAGAAACAAATGCGTCACATAGAAGCAGCCCAACTGGTTGCTGAGTTGTGAAAAATAGTTAAACTGGGGGAGAAAAAAAAACACACACACACTTCTTTAAAAAACCAGGTTAGGGATGAATGTGCAGGGCGTGGGCCTGAATAATTGGCGGAGCCACCGCCTCTCCCGGGGCCGTTGTGTCAGGGTGGGCCGCTCCTCCCCTCCGTCTGCAGCTCCTCCTCCGGGCAGGTGTGTCTCGGGCCCGCGGCTGCCTGCCCCACTCCCTGCCGAGACACCCGCTGAGAGGTCACCCACCACAGCCCCAGCAAGCCCGAGACAGACCACTTGGTGATCTGCCATGGAAGCCGCAGATGCCTCCAGGAGCAATGGGTCGAGCCCTGAAGCTAGGGACGCCCGCAGCCCGTCGGGCCCCAACGGCAGCCTGGAGAACGGCCCCAAGGTCGACGGCAAGGAGACCAAGACCGCCAACGGGCATGGGCACGGAGGGGAGGTGGCCGAGGGCAAGAGCCTGGGCAGCGCCCTGAAGGGGGAGGGCAAGAGCGCCCTGTTCTCCGGCAACGAGTGGCGGCGGCCCATCATTCAGTTCGTGGAGTCGGTGGATGACAAGGGTTCCAACTACTTCAGCATGGACTCTGCGGAAGGCAGGAGGTCGCCCTATGCGGGGCTCCAGCTGGGGGCCGCCAAGAAGCCGCCCGTCACCTTTTCGGAGAAGAAGTCCATCTTCTCGGAGCCCCGGAAGCCCTCCGTGTCCATCGTGGAGCCCGGGGACGTCCGCAGGAACAGCTACCCGCGGGCCGACGGCAGCCTCCTGCGCTCCAAGGCGGGCTCCGAGGAGGTGCTGTGCGATTCCTGCATCGGCAACAAGCAGAAGGCCGTCAAGTCCTGCCTGGTGTGCCAGGCCTCCTTCTGCGAGCTGCACCTCAAGCCCCACCTGGAGGGCGCCGCCTTCCGCGACCACCAGCTGCTCGAGCCCATCCGGGACTTCGAGGCCCGCAAGTGCCCCCTGCACGGCAAGACCATGGAGCTCTTCTGCCAGACCGACCAGACCTGCATCTGCTACCTTTGTATGTTCCAGGAGCACAAGAACCACAGCACCGTGACGGTGGAAGAGGCCAAGGCCGAAAAAGAGGTAACGTGCTGAGCTGTTTGCTGTCCCTCSAGACCTGGCCTCCCTCCCCTGCCCTCTGACCTTGATCCTCACAGGGGGCTTCCTAACTATGGGGGCTTAACACCATTCCAGGCTTGGCCCTTTTAGAAAACATTTCTTTCCCCTCTGCACCCGCCGGCTGGGAATCAGAGGTGGCTCCCAGCCAACTAAAGTTTTAGGAGGCAGGGGCATTTTTTAGATAAGCCAAGAGAGGCTCAGAAAAGATTGCTTGACCAAGGTCATAGGTTACATTCAAGTCTAGGCAAAGAGTCAGACCTAATGATGCAGAACTCTCTCCTGGGCTCTGCCTGGCTAGGGTTATCTCTCCTTTTCCTCCTGTTCCTTCTCTTTCTCTCCCCTCCACCCCCTTCCCACCTGAGCAGGACTGGCCCCTGGGGAATAGGTCACAAGTGAGGGAAGGTATTAGAAGGACCGAGTTTGGGGGCCACTAAATTGTCCCTTTTGGCTGGCTTCTGGTTTGCATTTGCATTGGCTCCTTGTTCGGTGTGATTCCCTCCAGGCTCTTCACTTTGCTCCCAGCCTCCTTTATCCTTTGCTCAGCAGGGCTGACTGTGCTTTGTGTGTGGTTGCAGGTGGACATGCCTGTGCCTGTGGGTGGACATTTCTGGATTTTGTATGGAGGTGGGGTGTAGGTAAATGCGTATGTGTTTTCTATGCATGTGGGTGTCTATGTGTGCATGTGGATGTTTGCACATATTTGTGTATGGGATACGTAATTGTTTTGCATGAATTCCGTGTATGTGATTATGCGCTACTTGCATGAGGCAGAGCAGAGGCAAGTGGAGGCTTGTGTATGTGGCACACCTGGGGAAGATATTCTGTGCTGAGAATCCAGCTGTGGCCGTTGCTTCTTGCCCCACAGATGCTGGGCCCACCACCTGGCCCTCCTTACTGCAGGAGGACTCTGTGGGGGGCCAATGCTGGCAACTCTGCATTCTCAAGAGTTTTTGTACCCCTCTGAGGCAACACAGGGTCCCTCCCTGCCCAGCTTTCCTGACCAGTAACTTTTGATTATTCTCTCTCTCTCTCTACCTCCTGTTCATACCCCTGGGCAGGGAGGTATGAGACCGAGATGGGAACAGAATCAAAGATCCCTTCCAGAAACTTCATTTGGCCTCAAAAGAAGATATCCCCAGCTCCCTCTGGTCCCTGCTTTGTACTGGGAGCTAGAGGTGGGACATGACCATGGAACCCATTCTCAAGGACCTTACTTGGAAAGTTGAAAAAGAACAAAAGGTAGTCACCTTCAGTCACAGTTTTCGGCCACAGAAGCGAAGACATTGCAGAACCTCAGACTGAGTTTTAGGAGATGTGACCAAATTCTAGTCCTGATTTTTATATCTAAGTAATGGTAGGACAGCGAATAAATCCTTTCAATTCTCTCAGCCTTGGCTTCTCTCTATGTGAAGCTGAGTAGTTGGGTTAGATTTCTCTGTGGAGCCCAGGATTCTTGGACAAGAATCAGGGTGACAAGAGGTACCCAGAACAAGGACGTGCTCAGAAGACACAGGATCCAGGTTACCACTTCTATTGCAAGCAAATAACACTTACTGACCTGTTTTCTATGCAGGGTTGGCCCCAAATATCATCTGAAACAAAGGTGTCACCATTTAAGAACATCCAGAGTGCCTGTGGAAGAGGTGGGCAGGAGGGTTTGGGGTCTTGTTTCAAGTTCTGGTTCCAGGGGCTACAGTAGGGCTCATGTAGTCCTTGGCCTTGAGGACCCATGATGTAGGTCAGGAGGCAGAGCTCAAACACACAACAGGACTGGGGAGCACCCTTCCAGTTACATAGTAGCAGCTGGGAGTAAACATGGAAGGACAAAATAATAAACAGAGGACAGAACGCCAGGCCTCATGGAATTCTTGAAATCCCAATGCCTCCTCTTGCACCTTGTGGATAAGGACACAGGCCCAGAGAAACAGAGGACCTGTTGAAGATCCTGGTGGGAGGAAGAAGCCCCCTAAGTCTTCTTTCAATGTCTGAGAGCACCTCAGGGGAAGGGCATGGGGGGCATGGAATTCAGGATGCGTGTGCTTTAGGAGAAAATGCCTGATCCTCTGACCAGGGCTGTGATAGGGATCTTTGGGCAGCCTGTGCGTATACACATGTGTGCACGTGAAGCACAAGGATATGCAGGCAGAGCAGGGCTGAGAAGCCAGGGGACTAGCTAAAGCCATTTGTCTAGACCTGGCTCTGCTGGAATGTTGGTGGGGGGTATAGCATAGAGCAGGGGTCATGGGTGGATGGACTGAGTATGTCAATCCTGGCATCCTCTGGAGGCATCTCCTGCAGACCCAGACAGCCCACACACAGCTTCTTGCAAGGAGCCTGGGAAGAACCTGTTCTGCAGGCCTGTTGGTGAAGGCCAGGTGAGGTAACCCAGCCCAGCGTGAGTTAGTCGCTTAGAGCTGAAGATGACACCCATGGCTGCAAGTGCTCACCTCCTGGGCCTTGGTTCTCCCCAAACTCCATGCTCTGAAAGGATCAGTTGGAACTGTTTGTAGCAATAAGATGATCTTTTCCCTGGAGGACCCATGTCACAATATTTCCCCTCTCACCCCAAATACCACAAGGGGTCCCATGATGTCAACTGGTCCACCCTCCACCTCTGGATATTTTCCAAGATAGGTTAATTAGTGAAATGAAAATGGATTAGGTATCTCCTTTCCTGTGTCTAATGTCCCTTCCATCTAGTCTAGTTCCCTCCTATGTAGCAGGCCAGGGTGTTAGGACCTCTCTTGGGGGGATGACAGGCTGTTCTGGAGGCACTGCCACATCCAGCCTAGGTTCTGGGGTAACAATATCATCAGCATAGTAATACACACACCCATCACACCCAGCCACCAGTGTCACTTGGAGGGGCTCAGCCTGGGAGCCTCATCCACTGTCCACTGCATGGCTTCTTTCAGTTCATCCCTTTCTCCATGCCCTGGACTTTATTTCTTATCTTATTGCCCAACTCTTCTAGGAAGGCTGAGCTGACAGGCTGCTGGGTTGCATGCCCCTTGTCTTTGAGTTTCTAGCTGTGCTGGTCTGGGCAGGCAAGCTCTTTGGACAGACAGTGGGGCTGAGATTTCAGATGAGGAGCCAGGCTATCAGCCAGGGTGCCCTGGACCCAGTCCCAGGAGATTTTCAGGGAGAAATGTCTGCTCTGGGACAGGGCATGAAACAGGAAGTGGGATGACCTGTCCAGATGCTGAAGATTTAGAGAGAGGAATCAGGAGCAAAGTGACCAGCAGATAGGCAGGTAGCAATTCAGTCTGTGTGGAGCACACCTGTGTGCTAGTGCTGAGCCTAGCGTGTGCGTGGTTACAAATGCCTGGTCTTGTGGGTGGGGAATGTACCTATTTTATAGAAGAAACAGGTTTAAAGATGCTGAGAGACTTGTCAAGGCACAGTGTGGGAGAGGGTGAAGCTGGGATTTCTCGCCACCATTTTAAACCTTTTCTCCCCATAGAATTGGAAGGGTCTCCTTGGGATCACTGAGTTCAGTGGCTTCCAGGTGGCTGTCCTTGGGTTGGTATCACTTGATGACTTATTAAAACACAGATTAAGGGCTGGGGATGTGGCTCAGGCGGTGGTGTGCTTGCCTGGCATGCGCGCAGCGCTGGGTTTGGTCCTCAGCACCACATACAAGTGGAATAAAGATGTTGTGTCCGCTGAAAACTGAAAAATAAATATTGGGAAGGATTCTCTCTCTCTCTCTCTCTCTCTCTCTCTCTCTCTCTCTCTCTCTCTCTTAAAAAGAATTAAAAAAAAAAAACAACACAGATTAACAGGCTTTATCCCAGGACGTTCTGATTCAGGGAATTGGGGCCTGGGGTCTGAATGTTAATCTATGATGTTTACACATCAGGGATTCTGATGTGTAGCCAGAGTGGGAATCAGAAATCTAGTCCAATGTCACAGGGAAACCAAGACCCAGGGAGCTGAGGTGACTTCTGCAAGGGCCCCCTGCTCATCTGCAGATGCCAGGGTGAGCCCTTTCTTGGCCCAGCTTGTACCTCCTCTGTCCAGAGGCTCTGAGGAAGCACAAGGGACTGGGGGTGTCCAACCCAGCAGTTGCACTGATATCAGGCATTTGACATCTGAATGGAAACAGGGAAATCTACCCAGCATTTCAGATTCCTATCTGGATAATTACCATTTGTCTGGGAGTACAAATTTGGCAATTAACTAACTCATTTGGCAAATGTCACAGCCCATGGCCCATAAGGTTATTTCAGACTAGGGGAAGATCATGGTCTATCTCCCCTTCCCTGGGGGCAATGCAGGTACAACTGTCAAGGTGAGTATTTGGGTGTGCCAACACCTACCCAAAGGCCTGGTCCAGGCTGAGGCACCGCCAGACTGTATTATCCTTCCACTCCTTGAAGAATTTCAAGGTTGGGTGGACCACACAGGTGCCATCTCAGGTATGAGAGAGAGAGAGAGAGAGAGAGAGAGAGAGAGAGAGAGATATGCAACCCAGTGTGGGAGATCGAAACAAAGGAAGCATTTAGGGACAGGCCTAGGCAGGGTGAAGGGGAAAAATCAGGGAGGAGTAGGAAGTAGGCAGGAGGGAGGTGTGAGTAGAGGAGGGACTGTGGAGAGCTGAGGCCCTGTCAGACATCAGGGGCTTCAACTGCATTCTGTAGGGGGAGGCTCAGGAGAGAGAAAACTGGGGCCTTGGGCAAAGGTATGGGGAGGAAAAGGGAGGTAATAAGAGAAGAGGTTGAATTGATGAAGTCTATGCGGTAGACTTAGTTTAGCAGGAATGAAGGAGGAAGGGCAATGTTCTAGAGGAGAACCTGGTGCCACCACCTTTGGAATTGCCTCTGAGGCCGAAGAATAGGATCTGAGACCTGTTATTGCCCTTTGACCTTACTGCTGCTTTCTTTCCAACTGTGAGGACTCAGACCTCACCACTTTTGCAAAAGGGGGCTTTTACAGAATTAAAGAAAATTCCTGGGCTGGGAATGTAGCCCAGTGGTAGAGTGCATGTCCAGCATGAGGTCCTGGGTTCAACCCAGTACCCTGAGAAAGAGAAAATTCCTGGCACTTAGTATGTACTTAGTAATTAAAGTTCTTTTCCTTTCCTCTCCTAGAATTGCAGGAGAACAAAGTATCTTTGGAAACTTCCCAGGTTCTATTACTTCCTGTATAGGATAAGTCTCAAAGAGCTGAACATATATGAAGTGCCTTCTTAAGACATCTGTAGAGCTCTTACCCTGAGCCTTCTTCCTTGACAGGGTAGGACTCATCCCAGAGAAAGGATCATTCTAGCAGCATACAGATCCTGGTCCCAGGACCCTTTCAGAACCCTCTGAGCCCTGCAAGTCTGATCTTGCTGGCTGTGCTGTGGGAGCCAGGCCCCTCCCACTGACTTCCTTAGTGCCCCAAAGAAAAGGAGGACCAGTCTCCTCTCCACCCTGGCTGATTCTTCCACCCACTGCTGCAGACAGCTCGTCTCCACTTCTGACCCTGCCCTTACACATGTCCAGACTAGCCACCTCTTCTCCTCCCCTCCCAGGCTGCTGGCAGACACTCCAACTCTCAGACCTCAGCTAGCTGGCTGCCCTCTCCCCACCCTCTCTTACACAGGATGGACTCCCAGGGGGCTGACCTGTCTCTGCCTTTTGCCCAGATGTTCTAGGCTGCACTGGACTCTCTGTGCCCTGGTCCCCTGTACGCCATTCCTCCTTCCCTCCATGCTCACCTAAGTGACACATTTTCTCACCTGTGGACTGACTATACAGCTTCTATTAGGTGTTCCTTTGGCACAGCTGTTCACTCCTGACATTCAGCTCCTTACCTTTCTCCTTCTCTAGTCAAAGCTAGTCAAAGCTCCTCTCCCTGGCAGTGCTTAACCTACCCTCTTCCCCTCTTCTGACCTCTGTTCTGTTTCCCTAGTATCCTTCCACCGTCAATTACTCATGTTCTAACCCTTTATTTTGCATTTTCAGTCTAATGTCTTGACTTCCCAGCCTCTGTGTACCCCTTACACTGCTCTCTGGACTGTGTCTATACCACTTCTAAACCCCAATCCAATGACATACACTGTCATCACCACCCAACACCCCTGAGACCTCACCTGACCATGCCCTCTCCTTTCACTTGCTTATGTCCCACGGACCTGCCCATCCCTCTGCCCTCATTCCTGCAATTATGGTGACAATAATGATGATGGGGACCATTGTTCAGTTAAGGCTTGCTCTGTGCCAGATGCTTTCTGGGATATTCAGTCCCTGATCATTTTCCATCCCACGTCCTCCATGGAAGGCTGGTCCTCTTACTACCTCCGTGGGACAGATGGACCTACTGAGGCTCAGAGAAGTTAAGCAACTCACAAAGGCCCCTGACTGTAGGTGGTGATTACCAGATGCTAACTGTTGGATTCCCCGTCATGTGCTCTGGGCGGGCTCCCTTCTGGATGCCCCACCCCACAATAGCTCATTTCATGGAAGGGTGACCCATCCGCTTGCTGGCAATAGGGCTTTTACTGGGGTTGGGCCTGGGCCTGAGGGTGGGAAGGGGTGCACTTTTGCTCTCTGTCATCAGACCTTGTGAAGTGCCCCTCCTCCACATGCCAACTCCTCCATCCTTCAGGTTAGGATGCCTCAGCTGGGTGGTGGGAGTTCTGCAGCACTCCCTCACCTCAAGCCTCACTCAGGAGGGAAAGTCGCCTGGGACAGACCTGTTGTCCAGCCTCTTAGTCTCTTCCCTAGAGCCCAGATCTGCCATCCAGGCCTGGCCTTCTCAGGGTCTTGGCCACTGGATCTGCCAACCTGTTTTCTGGGCTTTCCAGCTTTGGATCCTCAGAGTGTCTGAGGGTCAAGTTTCTACTACCACAGTGTCTTCTCCCAGCCTTGTTCCAGGGACCAGGCCAAGTCCCTACCCTCCTCTTCTTGTGCTCCTCTTCTCTCAACAACCCATCTCCATCTCTGGCAATGCTATGGTGTGGGATTTACAGCCGTCTCAGGCAGGGGGTGATGCTGATTAAGAACTTCTTTGTCTTGATCATGGGGAGCCCAACAATGTGGTGGTCATCGAAGGGCAGGCTGTGGGGAGGCAGGGGCTCCCTGACTGGGGAGCTTGGTACCTCATGCCCCATGCCTTCCCCACCCTCTGGTGCCAAAGGCCAGGAAGACTTAAGCACCATCAGATCCACCTCCCTGGGTGTTTTCAGCAGATACCCCACAGGCCCCTGCTCAGCCTGATGGGATGTTCAGAGGTGTGCTGTGTGGTGATGCTCTGGGCCCCGGCTGCTCATGACTCCTGCTGATGGAGCCCATGTTCCTCATGGTTTGTTGAACCTTGACTGTTCTCATGAGCTCCTCCGAGAGATGGCTAGGTAAAGAGGTAGGCCTCCGCATTCAAAACCCATTGGTCCTGGAGACCCTGAGCAATCCAAGGCTTCTTGGCTGCTTGCTTATTGGGTAGAAATCACCCCTTGTCTTCTGTGCTGGAAGGCACTTTGGAAGCTCTAGAGGAGACCCAGAAGAGTAAAAGAGGTGCCTCTTGACTAGACTGGGTGGCCTTGGCCTTGACTTCTTGCCTCAGTTGGACATGCTTTTCAGAGAGGGGCCTTTCCCCACATGGAAGGCAAGTGTGGATATGAGCACATCCTGATAGAGACTCTTCCCAACCCACTCCACACCCCTACCATCCACGTGCCTGAGGGCAGGGCTCCTAGGTCCTCTCCCTCCATCCCAGCCTTTTCCACTCTTTGAGCCTCATTCTCTAGCCTTCTCCTTCTCCAGAGACCCCAGGTAAAAGTCCCTGTCTCACCAAAACTGCAGGATGTGTTCCTTCCCATAAACAGGTTTATAGCTGAGCCTGCCCAGACAGAGCCCAGGCCGGCGGCAACCCGGTTCCTGCTTGCAACACACACCCCACATCACGCCATAGAAACGTTGCACACAGTTACAGCCACAAGACACTCCCTGGCTGGGTTGGGCTCAGTCCTCTTCTTTTCTCCCTCTGTGGCCCCAGGTCAGTTGAAAGGAACAAGAACCCCTAAAGTGAGCACCCTCCCACTCATGTTGGGTGCGGGGATAAGGGAGGTTTAGTCCCCACAAAGGCATGATGAGGGCAGCCAGCCCTAGTTACCTGAGAACAAGGAGATGGTGTTTGACCCTTGGTAACTGGCATGGAGCCTGGCATGGAGCCTGGCATGGAGCCTGGCATGTCTGAGGTCCTGAGGGATGTTTGTTGGGCAGAGAAATGGATGCAAGTGAGCCCTGCCTGAGATTTGGATCCCTGGGTGGGCCCATGCCCTAGTTCTCTGTGTCTGTGCCCCTTTCTTCTCAATTTCTCCAACCCTGACTCTTTCCTTGCAGACAGAGCTGTCACTGCAAAAGGAACAGCTGCAGCTGAAAATCATTGAGATTGAGGATGAAGCTGAAAAGTGGCAAAAGGAGAAGGACCGCATCAAGGTGAGCAGCCTCCAGGCTCCCCTTGACACACTTGCCCTGCCTGTCCTGCCTGGGAGGAGGCAGGCCTTGGTTCCTGTTCAAGGTTTTGGCCCTCAGTRACATCCCACACTTGTTTGTTGTGGATTCTCTCCCTGGCCCTTTTGCATTCCCACCTGGCACCCAGATAGGATCCCACCTGTCACCTAACACTCATTGTATATCATCTTAGCAGAGCACATCCCAGACCCACCCTCCAGTGTGTTGTCTAGTGTCTGCTAATGTGTGCTCTGCCCATCCCCCAAGACTCCCCAGCCACCAAATACACACCATTTCTCTTCTACTTGTGCCAGTGTGACTGGAAGTATGTCTGCCACTGTTTGGGGATTTATAAATCATGTCTGAAATCATTGCCTCTTGATCCTCACCACACCAACAGCCAGACAATACACTTTTTGATTTGGTGTTTTGTTCTGGTTGGGGTTTGAGTGAGCACACCTTGACTTTTGGGAGAATGTCTAGGCACACAGGGAATCACTCAAGTGTGGAATGGTTGCTTGGGTTAACCGCTGGCCCCCCAGAGGAAGGAGCCACAGGTGGATGAGGAAGGGTGGGTTGTAAAAACACTGGCATCTCTGTCCCTCTTTGATGCCTTTAAATGAGATTCATAGCCAGACAGTCTCGCCAAGTTAGGGTTCTGGGAATGCCCTGATGCTGAGCTGAGAACCTAAGGGTGTGCTCCCCTAGGGAGGTAGTTTTCCTTAATAAAACTCTCATCCCTCCTCTGATTGTGGACCTAGAGCTTCACCACCAATGAGAAAGCTATCCTGGAGCAGAACTTCCGGGACCTGGTGCGTGACCTGGAGAAGCAAAAAGAGGAAGTGAGGGCTGCCCTGGAGCAGCGGGAGCAGGATGCTGTGGACCAAGTGAAGGTGATCGTGGATGCCCTGGACGAGAGGGCCAAGGTGCTTCATGAGGACAAGCAGATCCGGGAGCAGCTTCATAGCATCAGCGACTCGGTGCTATTTCTGCAGGTGAAAACAGAGTCTTCCACCATTCAGTCCCTAAATCCTGCCATCCTCTCCCTTCTCATTCCATCCACTTTCCCACATCCTCATTAATCATCCTTCCATCCATCCACCCATGCTTCCTTCCGTCTGCCCATTTAATTTTTCCACCCAATCTACTTCCCTACCTCCTCTAAAGATGGTGCACAAGCACCACCTTGTACCAGCTTCAATTGGTATGTCCTAGCAGTGCTCTGGATACAGTGGGAAGGAGTTCTGTGGTGGATTAGTAATGTCTGCTGTGGGTAAGGGAGGAATGGTGTGAGTGCTGCATACTTGTTATCTTTGATCTAGTCAGTTTGGCTATTTATGCATCCATCTTTCTGTCTGCTAGAATGTTTTGTGCACTCCTTGATGCCCAGACTCTATTAGGTGTTGTGGTGAATAGAGAAGTATAAAACATGTTTTTCTGCCCCCAAGCAGCTGCAATCCAGCTGGGAAGATAAGACATGTACAATTAGGGAACAATATAGGAAAGTGTGTAATTAAATGATAAAGCATGTGGCTCAGGAGATAAGTGCCTGTGGAAACCCGGAGAAGGGTGAGCAGGCTGGAGCAATCTAAGGACAACTTTGTGCAGGAGAAGGAGTCTGAATAAGGTCTTGCAGGCCACTTAGAATTTGAGAAGGAGGAGTTATTCTCCAGTGAGGGGAAGGGAGGGGAGAAGCACGAATGTGCAGAGGCAGGATGGAGTGAGGCGTGTAAAGGTGGAAGGTCCCTGTCTCACCCAAACTGCAGACTGACCCAGAATGCTCTGGTAATTCCTTGCACTGCTTTCTCCTGGAATCTCATTGTAGCCTGTGTCCCTCTCAAAAACCCCTGTGAGGTAGGAATCCTTCACCCAGATTAGAGGTGTAAACCATGGAGTTAAATATCTGAATGCTAAAGCCATTAGGATGTTAGCATCTGTGGACTTTTTTTTTTAAGTACCAGGGATTGAATCCAGGGAGGCTTAACCATTGAGCCACATCCAAGTCCCTTTTCAATATTTTATTATCAGGATCTTGCTGAGTCGCTTAGGGCCTCGCTAAATTGCTGAGGTTGGCTTTGAACTCGTGATCTTCCTGCCTCAGCCACCTGAACCGCTGCTATTACAGGTGTGCACACCACTGCATCCAGCTGCATCTGTAGATTTTAATTGAACTTTTTCCTAGTGAGAAAAAGTGAGGCTAGTTAATTAGCTGATTTTAGAACCCAGCTCCTCTGGCTCCCGGCACTGAGTCTTCCAGCTGGGCTATAAGAGCCCCCTTGTTGACAAAAGACCCAGGAAAACCCAGGAAACTAATGGCTTCTTTCCTTTCTTGGTAGGAATTTGGTGCTTTGATGAGCAATTACTCTCTCCCCCCACCCCTACCCACCTATCATGTCCTGCTGGAGGGAGAGGGCCTGGGGCAGTCACTGGGCAACTTCAAGGACGACCTGCTCAACGTGTGCATGCGCCATGTTGAGAAGATGTGCAAGGCTGATTTGAGCCGTAACTTCATTGAGAGGAACCACATGGAGAACGGTAGGTCCCCTCTGTGTGCAGGCCCAAGGTCATGAGCTTTTCCCTCCCAGGTCAGTTCCTGCCTCCTAGCTAGCTGGCCCCTCGTGGTTTTCATCCACCCATCCCTTTATGGGGATTTGAACTCAGGCTCAGGGATTCTAGTTCCCATTGAGTTTGCAGCTATTACAAGGGGTCTCCAGAGGAGGGTGATTCCTGGGCATTGGCTGAATAAGTGCCTCCTCTCTGTGGATCATCCTCAAACTTGGGGATTGGATTCAGTCAGATCTACATCTGATTGTCCAGCCCAACCCAGCAGATGTGTGCATGCTGTTGCCGTGTGGGCTAGATGCCAAGCTGGTGGCTTTACAAACTCCAGCAGAAGTGACTTAGAACTGCACCTGTTCTTGGAGGGAGGACTTACCTGTCACCATGGCTGTGTTGAGTAGTGTTGAGCCCAGAGGCTGCACTTGGCCTGATAGGCTGGGGACGACAGGATATAGCCTGTCTCTGTGACTCAGTGTGTCCCTGAAATCAGCCCCTCTTCTGAATCATGCTGTCCTTGCAGAGGTCAACTGAATCATCTCAGACTCTCCAAACCTGAGAAACTACCCCTATTAAGTCTTTTTCTACCCAGTCCCTTTAGGGCCTGAAGCCTGAACACTTTCCCCAAGGGCCCACCCAGTGGCCCAAGCCCAGCCCAGCTTTTAGAATGAGGTTTTCAGAATGCAGCCTGATTAAGATCTTCCAGCCATGCACACTAAAGGAAATGATCCCTGTCTGCCCTAGATGGAGCTCAGGATTCTTGCAGGAGGAGAGGGGCTGAGTAGGTCACTGACCAAGGTCAGGAACAGGGACACCTATATATCTTGGTGATTTCACACAGCATCCCTGTAAAATACAAAGGGACATTCAATTATACCTGAGGACAGATAAGACATTTTAGCAAGACAATCATTTGACTTTAAATGGCACTGACAGCCTCTTCCTCATGACAATAGCAGTGCTCCTGGTGGTGACAGAGATGGCAGAAGATGACTGAGCTCCCTGAAAGCCGGTTGTAGGGCTGAGCTCTTCACTTCTGTTGCTTTATGGTCCCCTTGTGGAGCATTGCATTTTACAGATGAGAAGGCTGAGACTCAGAGAAGCATGTTCTCAAAGTGCAGGTCGCTGGGCAGGGGTGCTATGCAGTCCCCTGGGTTTTCTCATCTGGAAGGTGTCATCGGTTGATGGGTGTGGTGATCATTGTCCCAAGGTTCAAACCTTAACAAGACTGGGAAGATGGCCAGGCCCTGAATGGACCTGTGAGCCTTGCAGGAACCATCCAGCCTTCCAGGTGCTCACATCCCATTTCTAGGTCATGAAGGTACTGGCCTGGTCCCTGTGCAGGTGTGACCCTGCGTCCCCTACAAGGTCTGTGGTGAGGTGGCAGCTGAGAGCAAGGGGAGCTGCTGAATCAGCAGCCCTGCACCTGTGCCTGGAGTCACCCGGGGAGCCTCCTTTGCCTCTGTTGTTATTTTTGGTGTCTTCTGTAAGAGGTGGTGGATGGGAGGCTGGTGAGGTGAACTGTGGAGTGACTATCTATTGCTCCCTGATGGTGGGCTCATTCCTACCCTCGCAGACAGGGGTTAAGAGGCAGCAGGCCACCTTCATCCTGGGCTCAGTGGGCAGGTTTATACCTGCTCAAGGGCAGGTGGTGGGGTACCTTATTGTGTATGCATTTATTCTTTTTTTTTTGTTTGCTTGTTTCCGTGGATTGAACCCAGGGATGCTTAACCACAAAGCCATATCCCTAGCCCATTTTTATTTTGAGACAGGATCTTGCTAAGTTACTTAGGGCCTCATTAAGTTGCTGAAGATGGCTTTGAACTTGTGATCCTCCTGCCTCAGCCTGCCGAGTTGCTGGGATCACAGGCATGTGCCACTGCTTCTGGCTGCATTTATTCTTTGAACTACTGCTGAGTGCCAGGACCTGCTAGGTGCAGAGGCTGGAGAGGAAGGATGTGTCTGAGCCACACTTCCCTCCTCTTTCCCAGGAGAGAGAGAAAGGGAAGGAGAGAGAAAGTAGAAGAAAGGGAAGTAGTAGGAGACAGGAATGGGGTGGAGGACAGCTTGGAGAGGTGGAGCATCGAGCGGTAGATTTCTTTTGGCCAGAGTCTTCAGGTGGGTGCATCTAAGTGCTCAGCTGCCTGGATTCCTGGACCATGGAAGTCCTTACTAGGACCTTGTTCCACCACCTGTGACTGTCAGGAGTGACTGGGGCTGAGCTGTGAAGTGGGGAACCAGGGCTCAAACCCCAATGCTGCTCTTCTTGACCCATGTGACATGGGTCAATTTGCTTCTCTCATCTCCTGAGCCTTTTTTTTCTTACCTGTCACAGAGAGAGGTTTATATACCTGCTCAAGGGTCAAAGTACAGACCAAATGAGAAATGGATATCATAGTCCCTTCTAAACTGAAAGTGCTGTGCACACGACCTTGCTCACAAGGGGCCAGTCTAACAGAGTGACTCAAGGCAAGATTTCCCCTGCCCCACTCCAAAGACTGAAGAGCAACACTCTGAAGCTGTGGGACCTTGATTGTCCCCAGCACAGAGCGGGTGGGCTATGGGTTCTCAGCCAGCCAGGCATGTCCCAGTGGGTCAGTTCCTCCTCTCCATCTTCTGACCTCTTTCTGCCCAGGCGGTGACCATCGCTACATTAACAACTACACAACCAGCTACGGGAGCGAGTGGAGTGCGCCCGACACCATGAAGAGATACTCCATGTACCTCACACCCAAGGGTAAGGATGAGCCTCCTTGGCCTAGGTCTGGCACCCCCCTTGCTGCTCAAGAGCCCCCCTGAGTCCATGGAGYGACTCTCAGCCAGGTTCCTCCTGGGTGGAGTGACACTACCTCCAACATGCCTGGGGAAGTCCTGGCTGTTGTCTTGGTGTGATGATGACCAGCGCCTGCCTTCACCCTCACAAGTGACAAGTGTAAACTAACTAGATGACAAATCACCCAGCACCCTGCTCCTCAGAGGGCTCCATCCCTGACCCAGGCAGCTTGTCCTGCCCCTTCCTCTCCCTCCCCTCTGCGGGGCTGGAGCTGTGTGGAGCTTCCACTTAGGTTTCTCCGGGCTCAGGCCCTGGGAGGGCTGCCTTCTCTGGGCCCTCCTCTGGGGTCAGCTGCTGCTTCTCCTCGTTCCTCTCCTGGCCACTTGGCCCCTGAACCTTCTCTCCCTAGGTCCTGCAGAAGCCCAGCCTGCAGGGTTACAGTCTGGTGGGGTCTAGACCAGGGCCTCCCTGTCCTTGTCCTGGGAGAACACTGGCACATTCTTGGACACCAGCAACAAACCACAGCAATGCCYGTTACATAAAGGAGGGTGTGCCAGGCCATCAGCCCAGGATGGAGGGGGTTGCACACTTGCACGTGTGGGACTGGGGGACCAGGAGAAGAGTGGGGACCTCTGGGAAGGGGACGAAGGAGACCTGGGGAAGGTGAACCTGAGGCTCTGAGCTGTCACTCACATACCTACAACAGGAGGGGCTGGGGATTTGGAGGAATGAGCTCACTGGAGAGGAACCTTTGTGCCCAGCCCAATTTGAAAACAATACCTGAGCTTCTTCCAGTGGCCAGGTGCCCGGTCCCCTCCTCAACATTCCTGGTGTGGGCCAGGCCTCCTAGCCAGTGTGCCCACTGCCCTGCCCAGGGCACTGCCTCTTTGGGCCAGTTGTGTGAGAGTATGAAATGCACTAACCAGGCAACCCCAGTGTCACTTTCCTCAGAAGGGTGCAACATGACTGTCCCCAGCCTGGTGCCTGTGGCTCTCCCCCTTGTCCCTAGATCAGCCCTGTTGACCCAGCGAGTCCCCCAAATGGCTCCTCCTTGACTATTTTGCTCAGTGAGAGATTGAGGGCCAGTGTGACCTCCCTTCAGTCCACAAGGAGGGAAGAATCAACCTGCCTAGGTGTCACCTGGAGAGTCCCAGGGTCTGGGTGACCTGGGGTGGTCAGTGTTCCATGTGGCTTCAGCGTTCCTGTCTGAGAAGATGCAGTTGMCCCCAGGGCTAGAAGCCCTCCCAGCTCTGCCCCCATGAGTCAATCTGTGACATCTGTAGGTGGAAGAAACCGGTTCTCCCGGTGTGCCTGCCCCAGCACAGTAGGCASAGCCCTGCACTGGGGACAGGAGGGGCAGGACATCTGCCTTCTGGAGGGCTGGGTAGAGGAGAGGCAAGGGAGAAGTCAAGGAGATTTGTCAATATCAGGGAAACAAGGCCACTTAAGGTCACCAGGCCCTGGGCCTGGGAGGTCGGGCAGTGCTGGAACTTCTCAGGAGAAGTGGGTCTGGAGCTCCCTGAATGAGGAGCTGTGTGCCCAGGAGGAGGGTGCAGGGGATCCCCAGCACAGGTGCAGGAGTTTAGAAGGACTGGCTGGTGCTCGCCCTGGTGGGCCAGGCTTGAGGAATGGAATGGGTGGACCCAACAGGAAGGTCCTGGCACACACGGGAGCTCATTTTCTGCATCTGGGAAGTGGGGACATTGATCCACTCTGCCTTGTTCACGGGCTGTAAGGCTCCCATAGCCTGGGGTAAGCCACAGTGCTGTGCTGGTACCAGATTACTTGGCCACCTGCTGGTGACTCGGCCCTCGCTCAGCCAGTGGCCCAGATGCTCCTGTCATCACCAGGGCCTCTCCTTCCTCTCACGCACAGGGGACTGGCTCAGTAGGGAATTGTTGGCTTGTCAGCCTCCTCGTGGCCCCCAGGCTCCCTGAACAGAGTGATCCTATGTATTAATAAGTTCGGGACTCTCCTCAGTGCTCAGGGAACCATGAGCCTCTTCACTCCCTAAGGGGTCTCCGTTTAGATGGTAATTAAGTGACAGCCTAATGCTAGACCCAGTGACTCCTCTTAATGTGGAGTCCAGGTCCCTTGGTGGGCAGTTGGAGACCTGTTTAGGATCCTGCCCAAGACCCCAAATTAGAGTCTATGGCACCCCAAGTTGAGCCAGACCCACCTTTCTGCAATGACAAGCTTTCCTTGTATGCTTCATAGCGGGCGCTCGGACCTCCTACCAGCCGGGGTCCCCCAGCCGCCTCTCCAAGGAGACCAATCAGAAGAACTTCAACAACCTTTATGGCACCAAAGGTAGGAGGGTCTCAGCTCAAGGCTGGGCAGAACTCATGTGAGGTGTAGGCGGAGGTGGGCTGGGGGCCAGGGCTGGGGTGGGGGCCAGGGGCTCCGAGGAAGATGACTGTGGGGAGCTGGGACAGGATGGGCTTCTACTGAGCTTGAAGTGTGTGTGTGTGTGTGTGTGTGTGTGTGTCTACACGTGGGTGTGCACAGGTGTACACAGTGTCATTAGTTAGGCTGGAGAGAAGCTGCTGGAACCTCTGCATCACTGTAGATCCCTGGGTCCATGTGCTCTTCTTATCCCTGAGGATGAGTTGGAGGAAACAGGGTGAGCAGCACCCCTGGGGTAAGGTCTGGGGACCTCTCCCAGCAAGTGTCTCCGCAGAAGAGCTCTGCTGTTTAGTGTACTCCTGCACTGAGAAGTTGTATGTTGGTTAAAACAAATGAGCTTAGCTGTGGATGGAAAGGAAGGCATGGTAGGAAATGGGGCCACCCCTGCAAATCCAGGAGCCACCACTGTCACTTGGGCTGAGCAGGAAACCCCCCTTAAGACCCAAAAGAAGTGAAATGGGGRCTGGGATGTGCCTTCCCCAGGGGAAGCTGCCAAGCACAGGGTCTCCCCCTGTTCGTGTGGTGAGAGGTCCACTATGTGCCAGGACAGGGCCATGTGCTCAGTAAACACCAGCTTTGGGAGACCCTGGCTCCTGGGTGCTGCCTTCCATGTGTGGAGAGGAAGGGGACTGGGCCAGCTCCACCAGTTCCACCCAGACGCAATACCAACACSGAAGGACACTTCAGTGATGACCAGGCCCATGGAGATTGGRGTGGACAGGGCATGCCCAGGCCTCTCTGTTCAGCATTTGATTCCCAGCTGGGACCCACCACGGCCCTCTCCTCCATATCTGCAATAGTGGTATCTGCCCTGCTCACAGCTGCAAGCTCAGGGCCCAGAGTGGAAGAGCCTAGAAAACAGTCATTGAAAGTCAGAGAGAGGGAGGGAAGAAGGAAAGAGCAAGTCCTCTGTCTCCCAGGGTCTTGGGCCATGAAGGCCTGGCACGGGAGCTTCCCAAGATCCTTGTGGGAAGGACGTGCACCAGGGAAGGCCCAGCCCCAGCCACCTCTGACCCCTGAGCCCAAATGGTATCCTTGCCCTCCCCCAGGCAGCTATGTCAGAGGACACAGGGACTGGTGGCCCCTGCTGCAGAGCAGAGCTGACTGGAGAGGCTCTGGGCCTACTGAGAAAGGGCTGGAGAGCGTACGTCATGTCTGGGGCCCAAGTCCAGGCTGGGACATCCTCATGGTGCCCTGCTGTTCCTTCCACCACCTCCCCACCACGTCCTCCTCTAGATGACAGGGACGTATTTGCACAGGAACATCTGTTAGCCTGTTCAACCTGGCAAACAGGAATCCAGGTGTTCAATCAGCTGCCTCTGTACCCAGGTTTTAGGATGTGTTGGAATGTGTTTATTTAGTCGCTCATACGTTCACCATCCACCAGACAGTGAGCACATTTCAGAGGCCGGGCTCTGTGCCAGGCACCAGGTGTGGTTCAGGGCCAATCAGGCATTTCCCCAGGCCCCATGGAGTCCTGTTGGGATTTAATTAAATAATTGCATCCCAGGGGACAGGGAATGTAAGTGCTGTGAGGTGTAGGGCTGAGGCACACCTGGACTTGGTGGAGGTGGTGTGGATGCTCACACGTGAAGACTCACTCCTGGGTGCTGCCTACCATGTGTGGAGAGAAAGGGGACTGGGCCAGCTCCACCAGTTCCACCCAGACGCAATACCAACACCGGAAGGACACTTCAGTGATGACCAGGCCCATGGAGATTGGAGTGGACAGGGCATGCCCAGGCCTCTCTGTTCAGCATTAGATTCCCAGCTGGGACCCACCACGGCCCTCTCCTCCATATCTGCAATAGGCAGCAGTGGTATCTGCCCTGCTCACAGCTGCAAGCTCAGGGCCATCTTTGAGGAGGAGGCAGGAGAGAAAGTGAGGGATGCTGAGAGGAGGGGATGCAGCCAGGAAGAGGGTAGGGTGGTGGGGGCCTATTTAAAGGACTTGGCTCCTTATTCTGAGGACAGTGGCCTTTAGGTAGGGCAGGAACATTTTTAAGTTTTAAAAAGATAACTTTGATGGCAGGAGAAATGGGGGAAGGCATGACTAGGGACATCAGCATCCTGTCTTGGGAGGTGGCAAGAGGCTGGAGAGAAAGACTCACAGAATCAGCAGTGTCCTGGTCCTGCCCTCCCTCCTCTGTGCCCCGCTGAGGCCTGATGCCCCTCTTTGCCCTGCCAGGTAACTACACCTCCCGGGTCTGGGAGTACTCCTCCAGCATTCAGAGCTCCGATGACCTGCCCGCAGTCCAGGGCAGCTCCTCCTTCTCCCTGAAAGGTGAGCGCTCCAGCTGGTCGCCTGCTGTTCCTCTGCAGCTGCTCTGCTTATCTCTGCCCGCTCTCCTGCCTTCCTCCCTCGCCTTCTAGAGACCGGAGTCCTGGCCAGAAACAAAACAAAACAAAACAAAACGGCCAAAAGCTTTGCTSTCAGGAGGGCAGAAGATGGGGCTGGGCCACACCAGCATTCTCAGGGTTCCTTGCTTCATACACTCGTCCCTCAAGATGTGCTGTGACCAGAGGACTCAGGTGGGGGAAGGATGACTCCTCAGTACTCTTGTGCCCTGCCCCCACGGGCCATGAGCCCAGGATACTAGGGTTTAGGGCAGGGCCTTCCTGCTGCAGAGATTATTTAACTTTGTGGGCCCAGTGACTCCCAGGCCCCTGGGCCATGGCGCACCCTCAGTTTCCTACAGAGCCAGTCCTGAGGGAGCCGCTCTGGAGAAGGTGGGCCAGATGACTGCGAGGCCCCCCAGGTGTGATCTCTTTCCCCTGAACTCTGACACCCCCTGCCTACAGTGCTCCCCAGAATTCTTGGGCCAGCCTGAGGGATCGAGGCCTCCTGCCCACTAGAGGGTTGGGGTCATCTTGAGGGGCAGTCTTGAACCAGACCTTGGTTCACAGTAGGCCTAGGGCCCTCACGTCTCTCTTGTTAGGTCCTAGGGTCAGCTCTGGTGGGCTGCAGTGAGAGTAACCCCAACTCCTCTGACATCCAAATTACTGGCCTGGAAGAAAGGATCAGTGGTGGCGGGGGGCAGGGAGCAGGAGGGAAGGGGCTGTGAGACAGTCACTCATCAGCAAGGCCTCTAGGGTGGCTTTATCACCCAGCAGTCTCTTCCTGGAGCAGGGTTCTTGGCTGAACCAGCCAGGTGGAGGAGAAAGGAACAGAAAGGAGGGCATGTCCTGTCCCTGAGCCTGGCCTGGGCGGCTCTGGGGCTCRTCTTGACCAGCAGACATCTTCCTTGCTTTCGGTCAAGCCTGGCCTGAAGGTCACCTGGCCTGGAAGACAGCCACCCTGGGGCATGGTTTGGATGCTTCCTGACATCGCCCCCTGGGCCTGCACAGTCCCTCCTGTCTCAGGCCTGGTCCTAGGAGGGACTCCCATGCCTCGGAGGATGAGCCCAGAACATTCCTACTTTCATGCAGATCAGTCTGTGGAGCCCTTCAGGAATGGCCCTCAAGAGGGTTCCAGATAGGTGCTGCCCTGTGTGCCAGGAGAGCCCCAACCTGCCAGGACCCAGCCCATCCACTCTCTGTCAGCAGCCCACAGGCGGGGACAGTGCCTGGGCTGTCTGCGGGCTCCAGGGCCTGAGAAAGGGCTGCAGAGCATAGAGCGTGCAGAATAGATACGACAGAGAGTGAGGGCTTCCGGCCTGCTGGCCAGTGCTTGCCGCTAACACCTCTCTCTCTCCCAGCAGGCACTGGGAAAACCCCCTATCAGTTCACCACCTTGGGACAGGCCACTGCTGAGTTTTCCAAGCCACTGGACCGCAGTGGGCTGTTTAAAAATAATCCTGGTACCTGCCCGTTTTCCAACCCTTCCCTTTCCCTCTCCCACACCAGGGCCGCTGGGCACAGGCATGACCAGAACCTTGTGGGGGTTCTCTGACACTTCTAGGGTGCCCTGGTCCCTCCTCCCCAGAGGGATGCATGTCCCCAGCTACCACCCTCCCTCACTCTCTATCTGGATTTCTACCACTGCTCAAGGTTGCTTCCCTGGGCCACCCMTCCCTGCCCAGCCCCCATCCTCCCCCCTCTGGTGGCTGCCATGGGATTTTCTTTCTGGTTATTGGGAGGTGAGGTGTGAATCCTCCCTCTCTCAATCTCCACTCAGGACCCTGGGGTCCTGGYTCTGTCTCCTTGCCCTGCCACCTTGCTCAGTGTCATGGGGAAGTGCTGCAGGTGATTGCAGGTGATCTGGGCCTGGCCTGCTCATCCTGGTGCAGAGCAGGGCAGGAGAAGGCTGTCCCCAGGGGGGCAGGCACAGTCTTGCTGGACAGGTGACTGTCCAAGGACAAACCCTGTTTATTTCCTGAGCTTCTCAGCATCCAAGTCACAGCCTGTTTCTTCCCGGACTGTGTCCTGTCCCTGCAGGCTGATGGCCAAGGCTGAGAGTGCTCTTCCCTATCCCGAGGACCAGCGCTCCTTACGGATCCCCTGGGCTGAGGGGAAGGGCAAGGAAAGTGGCTGCTGGGCCTGGGGCTGGCACCTTCTGATCAAGCCCAGGCAGTGCCACCTGCTCTGGTCCTCTCTTGGCCTGCTGTCCTAACCCCGGGGGGCAGCCACCCTGGAAACTCACTGCCATTCTGTGGGCCCCAGTCTCCTGCTAGAGGCCGTGGAGCGGTGGAGCCTGGTGGAAGGAGCAGGCATAAGGGTTTTGGAGTTTGGCAAAATCTGATTTCCAGTCCTGACGGCTGCTTGCCTGCTGGACGAGTCAGGCACACTGCTGAGCTCCTAGACAGGGAGGGCTGGATGAGGAGCCYGCTGCAAGCCAAGTGCCTGGCACGGTGCTTGGCACAAGTGGGGCTTGGCAAAAAGGAAGCCTCGTCCTCCCAGCACTGGGGAGTCCGGAGCGCCTCCTGCAGGAAGGTTCTGCAGGCAGTGGGCTGGGGGCGGGGAGGGGCCATGGTGTGAGTCGGGTGGGTGGAAATCCCTGCAGGGCAGTGTGGTGCTGACCTGGCCTGGGGCCACCTCGCCTGCTGCTTGGCAGGCTCCTCCTCTGCCTGCCTCCCTGCTTCCTCCTTTGGCTGGCCTCCCCAGGGTTTTCCGTTGTCAGTGGCAGTACCAGGCTGCTGCACACCTCTTCAGGTGGCCGTCTTGGGTAAGGGGCTGGATGGCGCTTGGTGGTGACTACAGATAACAGCTGTGCTGCTCCACTACCAGCCGGCCCTGCCTCTGACAGAGCCTCCTGTCTTCCCAGGCTATCCCTCCCTCATCCGCAGCCAGACCCCTAAGGCCCAGCCCCAGACTTGGAAATCCGGCAAGCAGTCTGTGCTGGTGAGTAAGATGCTGCCAGGGGGCCAGCTGGGCACAGGCATGACCAGAAGCCTGGGCATGGAAGGGGTTTCCCAGGGCCACTGGTCTTCATGTCCCGGGGTCTGTGGGAGGAGGAGGCCTTTTCTGGGCCATGCATAGGGGAGGAGGCAGCAGTGGCCATAACACCCATAGAGATCCAGGGCTTACGGGGAGGGAGCTGGGTAAGCACATTCTGTCTGGGCCTCAGTTTTCTAATCTGTGAAGTGGGCCACCTGGTTCTTTATTTGGTGAGTGACTGTTGGGTGTCTGCACTYGGTGGCTCATCCTCCACCAGCTCTGAGATTGTAAAAGGCTCCATCCAAAGGATGGGCCTGGAGATGGGTCCCACCTCCYTGGGGCACTTTTCCAGCTCTGACAGCACAGAGGCCATTGGGATGATAATGTGGGGGAGATGGCSTGGGAGAGGCTGGAATGCTAGGAAGAGGCGTATTGGGGGTTCAGCAGAACATGATCCTAAGCCAGGCCATCAGAAGAGCAGCACCATGAGGGCTCCTGGCCACCCGGGCCCTGGCATCCTGGAGGAGTGCGATAACCTCTGAGGGGTTGGTGATCCCCTCGGCCCTTTAGACCTCCTGTGCCCGAGCCCTGCCCAGGACCTCGGGGGTCAGTGACTCCCAGGCTGCTCTCCAGCTTCCTGAGGCTTTTCTCTGAGGCCCACACCAGGCCTGCGGAGGAGCTGCGGTGGCTCTGCCATGCGGGTAGCATCAGGGGTTTGCTGGGGACAGGCCTGAGCCCTGGGCTCCTGCCGTCTTTGCATTTGGAGGTTGGAGCATGGGGAGGTGACTCGCTCTGGACCACCAAGAGTGTCTGGGGCTGGTTTAATTGGAAAGAAACTTTAATTTGCTGGTGATGGGAGCTAAKTGATCGCGTGTGTAATTCGGAGCTGGGCCCCGGGGCACCGTGGAGAGGAAAAGAAGCCTCCTCCTCTGGGACTCGGCCCTTGGCCTCCCCGCCACATTCCCCCACCTGCCCAGAGCCTGGTCCCCGCAGAGAAAGGGCATCACCCTTGAGACTCTGGCAGGACAGGGTCCAGTGTCCAGCGGGCTCTCAGGGCTGGGAGAAGGGGGCCAGGTGCTAGCAATTAGAGGCTGGCCTGGGCATCGGGCTGCCTGGGCCTCAGCCCCAGTCCTCTTGCCAACCTGCTGTGTGACCTTGTATGAGTCATTCTCCCCCGTGCCTCAGTTTCTCTACCTAAAACAGGAATCAGATGGCCTGGATGATTTCATGCCCTTCTAACTCTCCGGAGCCAGGCCCCCGAGCCAGGCAGGAATGAAGAGAGGGCACCTGTGGGTGTCACAGGGCCACATTCCTGCTCACCCAGCACTCCGGGCTCTTAAGACGGTGCCGTTCACTGGCCTGCAATCTGCGTTACGGACCTGGCCTTCCTGAAGGAAAGCCTTCTGCCATGCTCAGAGCCACTCACTTCACCCTATGAACCGTTTGGGGGTCCAGGCCAGCACGGGGGTGGTTGGAGACCTGTTCCCAGCTCTGCTCTGCTGCAGAGTAGCCATGTGACTTTGTCTCCCTGGGTCTCAGTTTCTTCCATTGGTAACCAGAGGTTTAGCCGAGGTCTGAGCTCAGTTGCTCAGGCCTGCACYCTCTGGGCCTAGTCCACCTGTGGACCAAGTTCAGGCAGGGTGCTGGCTGGGAGGGGCAGGGCCAGGGCAGGCAGGGCCGGGCGGGGGCTGAGAACAGCCTGGGGGTGTGGGGGGGTGGCGTCTTCTGTATGGGGGTCAGTGGGCATGGGCAAGMTCAGTCTCTGACCCAGCTCAGGGACAAGCCCACTTCTGAGACCTCTAGGGGGACAGTTCACATGGCCAARCTACAGCTAAATTTTGCTTTTGCATTTCATCCTGAAAGACCAGCTAAATTCTCAGGACCTGGTGAAGGGGTTAGGGGGAGAAGGGGACACTGCTTGGTACAAGTCGTGATACACAGAGAAGGCTGGGAGAGATGTCACTGGCTGTGTCCCGAGATGCTCCCTGAATACCTCTGAGGGAGGCAACAGGGCTGTGGGGGGCCCAGGGCTGGGGGGCCCAGGCCCACGGGGAGCAGGTGCAGTTGTTTGCCTGTYGGCACCTTCTCTGTTGGGGACAAGCAGATACTTGAAGTCCTTGAGACTCAAGAAGCGATATGGAAGCCTGGGGGTGGGAGGTGGGGTGGACTCTGAGCCACACTGCTGGGGTGTCAGTCCTGGATCCCCTACTCACCTGCTGAGTGACCTTGGGCAAGTTGCCTAGTCTCTCTGTGCCTTGGTTTGCTCGACTATAAAGTGGATATGATAACAGTAACCTATTTAATTGGGTGGTTGTAAAAATTAAACGAGTTCGTCCATATAAAACCCTCAGCACAGTGTTGTTGGGCTTTATGGAGTGGAAGGCGCCACGGCCTTGGTGTGGGCGGAGGCTGCAGCGCATCAGCCATCTGGCAGGAGTGGACTCCAGTTAGGATCCGAGCTCAGAGATTCTGGTGACAGTAGGGCCCCCCTGAGTACATAGATCTCGTGGGTCTGGCCACGGGGCCTCTGGACTTGTTGGGGTTTGGGCCACTGCTGCTTCCAGAGGGCCGGGCGTGGGGAGGGCTGGCCCGCGGGCTCAGGGCCATCAGCTTCCCTAACCTCTCTGGTCTCCCCACAGCCTCACTACCGGCCGTTCTACGTCAACAAAGGCAACGCGATGGGCTCTAATGAGGCCCCCTGAGCTCYGGCAGGAGGGATGAGGCACCGCCACCCCTGCCCTCTCCGCTGCTCCTGCTGCTCCTGCCTTCTAAGCCACTGTGCTCTTCCGGGTGGGGGTGGGGGGCCTGGCCCTTCCCTGCTGCCCCCGGCCCCTGGCCAGCCCTCCCAGGACTTCACCCAGGCCCCCGTCTTGCTTGGTGACTTCGGGTGGGCCCCTTGTTCCTATGCCGAGGCCAACCCACCACAGGGGGAGAACAGGGTCACTTCTCTCTCCAATCCACCACCCTTCTGCTCTGGGGTGGGGTCACCCAGGCCCACGTGGTATCAGCCTGCCCTCCTGCCCATGCCCCGTGGTCTCAGGTCTCTTCCACCATGGTGCCTGATGAAGCAGCTGCCTCCCTCCCATCCCCGAAGACCTGCCTTCTTTCCAGCAGGTTGGCCCTGAGAGGAGAGGACTTTTGTGTTGAGAGGCCCCTGTGTCCTCTTGGGTCCTACCAAAAACACCCAGCCTGGAGGAAACTACAGGCCTGGCCACAGAGAGGCCACTGTCTTGGTCTCACCCAGCCTGGGCCATGGGTCTCTGCCATATCCACTTTGAGTCTGGGTCCCCAGAGGGTGAGCAGGTTGACTGTAGCCATGAGACTTCTCTCCTCCACCTGCCAGGATGAGCAATTCCCAGGCATGAGATAATCCACCCATGAAAATAGCTACTGGCCCGGCCATGCCAGGGAAATACCACTTACCTTAGAATCTCATTAACTTCTAATGGATGGTTCACCCGGTGATGGAGAGCCAGCTGGCTGGTAGCGGCCAGTGCTGTTTACCAGGGTGCCTTKCGTTGCCCCCGAGGGGAGCCTGCCTCTTCCCCTGCCTGCCCTCTGTGTCACATGCCATGGGGCTCAGGGAGACAGACCAAACCAGGAGCAGCACGGCGGGGTTGTCTTTGACCCCAGTTCCGGTGGGGGCTCGAGGTGGCCAGCTTGCAGGGGGTGGCAGACTTTCAGCTTGGGCTTTCCCCTCCCGAATAAACCGTTGTCACTCATTTCTCTTGTGTTGAATGACTGGCTCTCCAGGGTCCCTGGAGGGCTCYGAGTGTTCGGGCATCTTCCCTCTTTTACCTTGAAGACGGGGCACACTGGGGTCTCCCTCCACCCCTCTCCACCCCAGGCTGATTCTCTGGGGTGCAGGAGACTGGAACTTTCTGAGACAGGTCTTGATTGACATTAAGCACAAAGGGTGGGAGCCTGGGGATTCTTGGCCAGCCTGCACCAGGGTCCCCAGAGAGTCTTTGGGAGCTAGAACCCAGAGCCCTCTGGTGCTCAGATGCCAGAGGTAGAGGCCGACTGGAGACTCTAGACCTGGTGGGCCTGGGGGCCTCCTCAGTGTGGGGAGGGCCTCCGAGGCAGGGGAGCCTGCAACGGAGGCTGACACCTGAGGACAGCTCCATCCTGGGCGGGTGGAGGAAGGAAGGCCATGAGGCCTTTCAGTCCCTGGGAGGCCCAGAGGGGCCTAGAGGGGCAATCAGGGCAGGCATCCTGGAGGAGGTGCGTGAGCCGGGGGGCAGTCCTGGTGGAGGTTAAGAGGGTGCAGAAGCCACGGCCTTCTCTCTGACTGGCTGGYGCACCGAGGCCCTCTCTCTCCTGGTCCTCACGCTGCACTAGGAGCAGCAGCCCCCAACCCTGGGAACAGGCCCACTGCTGCGGGTTCCTGAGGGGACCTGTCCCTCCTCCCTTTCCCAGTGCTGCTGGGCCCTGGAGACTCTGGGTCCAAGCCAGGGACCAGGCTTCCCAGGGGGAGGCTCCTTGAAGCCAGAAAAGGGAGGGGGGAAAGAATAGGAAGAGAAAGAAGAGGGGAGGGTTCAGCAGGCACAGGAGAGGGCCGGGCCCCGGGGTGGGGGGACCTCGGTGCTGCCGGGCGGAGAGGCGCCCACACAGTGGCCAGAATGCTAGGGCCACGGGGGCTCCTCCCGTGGGAGCAGGGAGGACAGAGAGCTGCTGGGTTGGACCCCAGAGCTGTGATTACACAGCAGTCAAAGAATTCCCTCCTGTTTTTAAGACTCCGCCCCCGGCAGCGAGGGTGAAGACAGGAGTTTCAGGTAGGTCCCAGGGCTCTGGGGAGGGGAGGCAGCTCTTCCCAGGAGGAAGGAGCGCAGCAAGACTCCATCACCACTGTGACCCAGACCGGCAGCAGAGGGCTGGCTTGTGCTCCCATTCCCTCTCCTCACCCAGCTCAAGGCTGTAAGCAGTTCTGGGCATGACATTGGCAGCCTGCTGGCAGACAAGGGAGGTGGGAGGCGGCCCTGTGCTCAGTAGCGAGCCCTGGTTGCATGGCTGGGAGACCTGAGTTTGCATCCTGGCTCTGTCACCTCTGGCTGTGTGATCTGAGCAAGCCACTTGCCCTCTCTGGTCCTGATCTACTTCATCTATAAGATGAAGTCTATTTACCAGATCATTTCTGGGGCTCTTTCCTAGCTCTCATAGTCTGTGAAATACAGACAACAATGAGGGAATTGGAAGAGACTGGAAACTTGGGATAGGTCACAGACTGGAGCTCTGTGATCAGGTCTGGGTCAGGCAGTTTGTACTCCCAGATCCCCTGGACTTCCCTTGCCCAGTCCAGTGGTCTGCCTCTCCTTTAGACCTGACTGTCAAAGATTCTGGTTCCAAGCCTTCTGGCCCAGAATGGAGGGAGGTTGGGGGACTCAGAGTCTTCTAGTCTCTGCTCTGGTCCTCTTGGACCCCTGGATCTGGACTCTATTTTGTCCTAGCATGGTTCCCAGCTCTGGACGGGTCCCAGAAACTGAGATGCAGTTATCTGAGGTGGTGGGAGAGGAGGGGGAGAGTAACAAAGGGGAGTTGTGAAGGTGTCCAGCGAGGGACGCCTAGGGCCCTCTTGGGGGCCGAGACAGATTTCCAAGGGCAGCCAGACTACCAACTTGTTGCCCTTGTTGGCATCCTGGCTGTGCCACCCACCAGCTATGTGACCTTGGCAGGCTTCCCAGCCTGTCTGAGTCTCAGTTGGGACTACAACTTAATGTTTTGAGCAACAACACCAATGTGTGCTGATACCTGCAGAGTAAGAGCTCAGTAATAGAAAGGTCATATTATTATCATTAGTATTATTGTCAATTTAACAACAAAGCAACAGTGAAACAGCTCAAACTTGGAGGAAGCTTGAGTTTCCCATCCGGGGAGGGACAGGGTGACTGCAGTCCGACTAGGTTCCCTTTTCCATCACTTTCCCAGCCACAGAACCCGTGCCAGGGCTCCTGCAGTTCTGAGGCATGACCAGCAGGTGGCAGCATTTTACCGTGGTTAATGGGCACTCTGCCTCCCTCCCCAGCCCCGGTGGTCAGCAGCACTGGGTTCCACAGCCCTAGCGCTAAGCCCCTTTCTTCTGCTTCTAGACCCTTCCGTCCTAGACTGGAATGTGTGAYCACAGGATGGCAGACCTCCAGTCTGAGCAGGAGTGAAGAGTGGGCTACTGACCCCACCAGTCCCTGCCCAGGCTGGCATGGAGGCCCCAGGTAGGACAGGGGGAAGGTCCCCTCTCTGTGGGCACCACCTTGGCTCTGTCTGCAGGAGGCTGGCCTGAGGACTGGTGGGGTGGGCATGCCCCGTTCATTTCTGCAGCCTCGTGACCCATGCCTGTTTCTCCACCAGGCCCTCAGATCATCCCCCAAGAGTGACCCAGTCAATTTTATCTTTCTGAGTATTGACTATTAAGTTTGAAAATGAGCTGTTGTTCAGCCACATAAACGAGGGAGATAAACGCTAATTGCTTGGTGGATGTGCCAACTTCTGGTTCCTAATTTATCACCTTGCCAAAGCCGAGGCTAAGAACAGGCCAAGGGAGAGAAGAGATGGCTGGCCACCGGGACCTCTGGGGCCAACAGACCCTCCTTCAAGAGGATGTGACAGTGAGTGGGAGAGCCAGGAAGCCCCTCCCCAGGGGATGAGAGTGATTCCAGGGGAAGACAGGGAGCAGGGTGAGGAAGGGATGGGAGGCCTTTGGCTGGGTTTATGGTTATCAGGAAAATAACCTCATATGGACAGATAATTTGGTTCCTCACTGGCCTGTGGTGGGCCTTTGGTACCAAACTCTAAATTTCTCTACGTTTGGTCTCATTATCATGTTAAGACCCTCTGTGGGCTGAACTGATGGGCTGCAAACCCCATTCTCGATTGGCAGCTTGCAGGAGGTTGATCTGGCTGCAGAAGGTACAGCCCCAGAGCCTATGCCTAGGGCTCCCATGTTGGCCTAGGGATGAGGACTGACTAGATGACCCTGCCCAGGTGAGACAGAGGAGCAGAGGGTCCTGTGGAGGAGCAGGACAGGAACTGTGGGAGGGAAAAGACCTCGTTCCTTTCCAGATATGATGGGCCCTCTGCCTCTGAGGTTCTGCATCCCGATGCAAACAACCGTGGATAAAAATACTAGAAATTGCGTCTGTACCGATCATGTAGACTTTTTTCTTGTCATTATTCCCTAAACAATACAGTGTAACAACTAATTACAGAGCATTTACATTGTATTAGCTATAAGTAATCTAGAGACGATTTAAAGCCTACAGGAGGATGTGTGCAAATTTGACATCCTTTTCTATAAAGAACTTGCACATCTATGGGTTTGGGTATTCACGGGACAGAAGGAACCCGGACCCAATCCCCTGTGCACACCAAGGGTGACTGTATCAGTGATGTGACAAGACATGGGGTGATAAAGCAGGGACGCAAGGTCCCCCCTCATCCCCTGGGGGAGGTGAGGGTGGATGGGCTGTGGGCTCCTCCAGGTGTGGGAAGCAGGAGCGCTACATAGGGTGGCGGGAGCTGTGCTCTCTGAGGAGGGGACCGCTGTGCTGGAACTCATGCTGGGAAGATCCGGGGAGACCAGACTTGGAGTTGTCCCTGGGTGTGAGGAGAGCAGAGGCCAGCCCAAGAGCAGCGAGGTTAGGGTCCCATAACTTGGCTGCATAAAGAGCTGGGACCTGCAGGTGCCCTGACCGCTTCCTAGGCACAGGAA